GACACCAGGATTAACAACGCTACTGGGATTTTTAATGAACACAGTGAGTCAGGACCTTGGTTTTATGTCCAAACGACGGCACCTTTTTAGAGTATAGTGTCCCCCTCACTGTACTGGGGCATTGGGACCCACACAGACTGCAGGGTGAGCGCCCCCTACTGGTCCCACTAATGCCTCTTCCAGCAGCCTTAGCTTTCCCAGGAGTCTCCTATCCAGGTACTGACCAGCTCACAGCTGCCAAGCTCCAGTGGGCTGCCAGCTGGGAGCTGCAGGAAGATACAACTGCTAAATACATTATATACAGTACTTATCTGTATGAAACCAGACAGTCCCAGAAACAGAAACTTGCTCCTGGTACTTGGACCTTTTGATTGGAATCCAAACTAGTCATTCTAGGCTAGTTCTGAACTGGTGCGTATACATTCAAAGTGTTGTGTCAGCCAGTGTCATATCCACACCATCCACAGAGCCCCTTCAGAAGCCCACCTGTGCCCAGCTTGGGTGTGGATCTGGGACTGCCCAGGGAGCAGTTGAAGAAGCTCTGGACGAGACGTGGTCTGATCCACTTGAGAACGTCGTTCCGCATGTCAGGAGAGAGTGACTCAAACACGTCGTGGAACATTCCCATCCTGCGCACACACAGACAGAGAACACACAGCTCGTCACACAGAGAGACAGAGAGAGACACACACACACAGACCGCTCATCACACACACACACAGCTCGTCTCACACACACACATAGAGAGACAGACAGCTGATCACACAGACAGACTGATTTAGCAATTGTTCATGCCAATAAAGCTTCTTGAATTGAATTGATATGACAGCTCATCGCATACAGAAACACACAGACAGAGAGAGACAGCTCGACACAAACAGACAGACAGAAAGACAGACAGCTCATCACACTCACAGAGAGCTTGTCTCACACACACAGAGAGACAGACAGAGAGACAGCGAGGTCATACACACAAACACACAGACACCCAGGCACCCAGACAGAGAGCTTGTCACACACACACACACACAGCGAGGTCACCAAGTGACACATCTGGATCCGGACTCACATCAGCTCCAGGTGCTGCCTGGGCAGCTGGCTGGGGAGGCTGAGGTTGGCCCGTGGCCCCAGGAGCAGGGGCTGGGAGCCCCACAGGAGCAGTCGGAACTGGTCGGGGGACAGCCCGCTCCCATTCCCCGCCAGCATGTCCCACGACACGGGGGCGATGAACGCCCGCAGGAAGCACTCCAGCTCGCCCTGTGAGGGGGAGGCGGGAGGTAATCAATCACTCTGACAGCCTTCTAGACACACACAGCACCTCAGACATCTGGCAGGGCTCCAGCAGGGGGTGCACTAACCGTGACGTTCCTCATCATGGACAGGAAGTGGAAAATGTCGCTGCAGTTCATCAACGCCTGGGTCACGTTCTGCAGACGCAAACACAGAAATTAAACACAGATTTCAGAGCAAGAGAAAATCGGGAGGAAGGAGCTGGTCAACACAACACCAGGAAAAGCTGAACCAGAACCTCCAGTCCAGTGCTCCAGTGTGGTGACCCAGGACACTATCCTGGAGGACAGGGGTTCCTAGAATCCTACACACCTGCTAATATTCATCCCTGCCCAGATTAATTACTCATTTAAGCATCATCACCCAGGTGGGGGCTGCACACTGGTGGTGGAGGGGATCCCCATTACCTGTAAAGCGCTTTGAGTGGGGTGTCCAGAAAAACACTCTGTAAGTACAAGGAAGTTTGATTGATTTGTTGATTGGTTGACTGATTGACTGATTGATTGATTGATGGAAGCCTTAAATAAAATACTAAGTTGCTTGATTGGAACCTTTTCAAAGTTTTTTTTTCCCTCAAAATGTGGTATTGTATGTCACTTATAAAATGCAGTAGTTAAGAAGTGATCTCCAACACGTTTAACAGCTAGAGACCGTCAGTAGTAATAAAATTGGACGAATATGAACTTGTCTGAGTTATTATTATTATTATTATTATTATTATTATTA